ACAAAATCTGCTGAAACTCGTCTAATACCATGATCTGACTGCCTCATGTCTAGCCATGGCAGTATGGTAATTCAATCTGTCATAAATAACATATGTGCATTGTAATTCTGTGTACCCTAGCAAAAAAAAAAAAAAAAAAATTTAAGTACTGTGGCAGTTACATTATGGTATTAGAGGGTAAACGTATTGTCCTTTGATATATTCATATACCAATATATTAAAATATAATATATAAAACAATGAATTAATTATTTTTGATGAACTATTCTACAATTTGAGATTATAGGTGAAAAATAGGTGACAAACTTACAGGGAAAAACATGGTAATACCATGTTAGTTTTTATTATTACTAAATGGTCACACGTATTGTATAAAGTTAATGTAATCCAAATGAGAATTAATACAGTTGAGTTCGTATTTTTGTACGAGTTACTACTATATTTTATGTTTATTATTTTCTGTTGTAATTCACTATGTTATATAATATGTGTGAGCACCGCAATGTAAAGTACAATTACGCCAAAATCTAAAAGGTTGTTGTTAAAACTTAAATGTACTGCGGCAAACACGTACACAGAGCGTCAGCTGCCTGAATGAGTGTTTTTTCCAGTCGGTCGCGGTTCCGTCCGGCTACAGCCCATTGTAACGACCCTCCTGGACCCTCGGTACACGTCCTCGCGACCTCCTCCACTACAAACTGACCGGTAAAACCGGTTGCCCCGAACACTATGATATGGTACGGTCTTTTGCTTGATGTTGTGAGCGTCGCCATTGTGTCTGTAATCCGCGTGCGATGCGACATAGACGAGGTCAGAGCGACCGCTGCTGCTCCTCTGGTGTCACTGTACAGTGTACAGTATCAGTGTAAATAAATACTGCACAAGAGGTTTAGAAGCTCAGGTTGTGCTTCAGATAAATTGTAGCTCATATACAAATCCCACTGTTTGTGGGTGAAAAATCCAGAAACGGCCACACTTTGAAGTAGTAGAGAGACATCTTGTGCTGGAAAGGTGATATTACCACAACAGTAGGCTACTGCAGTGTAATGTAAGCTATATTTTGTGACCATTAACATATTATATATATAAAAGCAAATGTATGTAAATATACACAGCTGTAAATAGCATTTGAATGTCAATTGATAAATTATAGGATCGCAGCTTGTTAGTGACTGTTTTGAAGAAATCAGTAAAAAAAAAATGTCAAGTTCAAGTCAGACCACTTTTGAAAATAATTTTCCATTTTTTTTCTAATGCATTTTTTATTATTATTACAAATGATTTTATCAGCATAAATATTTAGTTTTTGCTTTAATGACAGCAGCACCAACTTTGATCTTTTGTTCGAAGGAGTTCACATATTAACAAAATTAAAGAAATGGTGCTGAATCTTAGACGTTTTTGTATTCATTTTACATTGTTTCTTTCTTTAAATTTGTTTTTAAAAATCTAACACGTTGTTTATACACTTTGAACCCTATATATTTTCTATGCGTTTCTAGACTTTTGGTCCCCACTGTATGTTTTTGTGATTAATCACATATTGTAAAATTAAATTAAGCAATATGAATGAATTATTTCAATATGCACTTTACAATTGACTTTAAAGTTCAAGCATATTGTTCTTTTGGCAAGAAAACAATGACAGTACAATGATCAGGTACTTAATCAGGGCTGTGACACTATAATATTTTTGTTCTGTGCATCTTAATGCTTCATTGTTAGAGAAATTGTTATTGGATTCTGAAATGAAATTAGCTATGAGTCAGTCTACGGATGACACACTGGTCTCCAATGTGAAATGCTCCTACTTCACCTAGGTTATGTGTGCCAATTCCATTTGCTGCTGCGTCATCTTTTTTTCCATTCAGAAGACCATTCCACTATTATCAGAGTTACAGCATAAACCCACTTCCAAAATATATTTTATGTCATAATTCAGAGATGTCATGTGTATTACTTTGCAAAGGAAAACAGAAAGACATACAGAAATAGGATTCTAGTTCTGAGAATAACATTAAAACACTTAGGCGTGGTTTCACAGATATGGCTTAGGTTAAGCCAGGATTAGGCCTTAGTTCAGGGGTGGGGAACGTCCGGCCCCCGGGCCGTAACCGGCCCGCAAAACAGTTTGATGCGGCCCGCGAGTCAAATCCTCCCAAAAAAAAAAAAAAAAGACCTTCAGAACCTAAAATCTCAGCAATTACTTTTCCTGTGACAGAAAACACAAAATAGGCAAAGCGGCAAGCAGGGCGAGGCCAGTAGCGAGTGTTAATGAGTCACCTGCGCACCAGTTTCAAGTTTCTCACAGATGAGCTTCGGGGGCGCGCGCGCCGCACCGGTTACAAGTTTCTCACCGCGCCCCGCACCGGTTTCAAGTTTCTCACTGATCAGCTTCGGGGCGCGTAAAAGGATCGGAACGAAGACAGCGGAGGACCAGGCATGGACTTTACTTTATGTGTGTGTGGTCGTCGTCCACGAGGAGCTACTGCTTTTACTTTCGTTTTGTCATTTGCGTATTAATGTATTAAAGTGGTTTAAACGTTTGCCGGTTCCCGCCTCCTTCTTCCCTGAACAAACCAACCACGTTACATTTAATATAATAGATAATATACAATATTATAAAATAACATAATATATTATAAAATAACATAAGAGAGTCGACGTTTCCGGGTGGTCGCTTCCGACTGTGTCCGGGTCACAGTCAGAATGAACGCAACAGACACGTAACGTTAGCGGTTGTCATCGCTGATATGCATCATGGCGACTGTCAAAAAAAAAGAAAGGTAGATTCGCCGACAGCAAGTGGAATGAGTGGCCGACTAAAAGAGGAATGAGTCTGTGCGTGTGGAAAGAGTATTATATTATGTGACTGTTTTTGTGCTTTTATCCACCTCTAAATAGCTATAAATTAAGCTTATGTCGTTTTAGTTTCATATTGTTAATTATTAGTTTCATAGGTTGTTAAACCTGAGACGAACTCTTTCATATTGCGCTGCATTACTGTCAGTGTTGTTGACTATTACTGACGGTTGCGCTGTTGGCGCTCGCGCAGCCTCTCGAGCAGAAATCTACACAAATGAGCGCACACACACACACTCAGTTAACAACATAGTGCCTATAAAAAATCTAAATGTGGAGTTTTTATATTTTTAACATATGTTAAGCAACCTCAATTATTTTTCCTGAACACCATCACGATTAAAAATGTGACATTAATTTCCAACAACAGTTCAATAAACAGTTAAAATTAAGTCACTTACATTTTAGATGCAATATTGGCTGTTTTTGTTCTGTTTCAGCAGCGAAAATAGTTCCAAACAAAAATCACAGGAACACTCGACCTGTTTTCATTACTGAATGATTCAGCATTTTGAACGAATCGATTGAGTCAAAGATTCAATGACCCATTCATAAACATCTGTCTCAATCTTGAATGAATCAGCCGTTTGAACAAATCGTTTGAATCATGAATGAATCAATGACTCACTCATTAAGACGGTCGCCTGCCGCCACCTACTGGCGGTTTGTGTTATGTTTAAAAGTAGATCATTCTTTCCAACGTTTCTTATTTGTAAATTTAAATCAATTTCATAACATTATTTTATGCAATTATAATTTTTCAGTGTAAATGATTTAATTTGATCAGCCCTATAGTGTCTTATTATTCGAAATAATTTAATTTATTGATCAAATTTAGGAATTTAAAATGAAAGATGAAGCATACATTTAATAATATTGGGGGAGGGGATGCCCTTTAAAGGTGCAAATATTACAATATGCCGATTTAAATATCAAAGCTAATTGAACACTGATGAGAATATTGTTTCAGAATAAATTAACAAAAAAAAAAAAAAAAATCCGGACGAGAAACTTTTTTACTCGGACAAGTGAATGACAGATTACTTGTCCGAAGGACAAGCGTATGAAAGGCTTAATGTCGAGCCCTGCCTATATCAATGTCATCAGGATACACATACACAGTGGCCCACCTTACCGGGTGACCACGTCGTGGTCCACCAGAATTTATAGTTTACCCACCTCTTTTTTTACCACTACACCTCTGAATAAAACGTACGAGTCCCAGTCATGCCGACCCTCTCTTCTTCCTTCCAAACACTGAACCTCATTACAATGGCCCTTAAAGAATGTTAAAAAAATTGTAAATGGCCCTTGATAGGAAAAAGGTTCCCCACCCCTGCCTTAGTTAATTAGAACATTTAAGTAGCTTTTATAAATGCGCCTCAGATAAAAATATTGCTGGTGTGCATCTTGAGACAAAACAATGGCACTGAAATATTTTAAGATATATCAGTGCAAGTTGCTTTCAGTTAAATCAGCTCAAACATGCATTTTAGTCTGGGACTAGGTTTAAGCCTTGTCTGTGAAACTGGGGGTAAGACTATTATTGAAAACACAAAAACCCACACCCACTTTGATTACTGAACACAAAACATGCTTGTAAGTAAAAACAAATCGATTGCTTGCCGTCTTATACGATTATACAATTTTCAGATTTATTTTGTACCAGCTGACCACAGAAGAAGTGCTAGAACAAAACCGAAGTGACATAATCTAGTCAGATCTGATCGATCCTCATTATTCAGCCAGGTCATGTGCTATTCATTATTCAATGTACTTATCTGTTTGATTAGTTAATATCCCATAAGTTAACATTGCTAGATTTTTGCTTGTTCATGTTGATACTGTGTGAATTTCTGTGCTTACAGCACCATTGAAAAGTGCCAAGTCAATCTATCTCAAAATAAAAATATACATACAAAGATAACCATGGAATGTAGTGTATCGGAGTACTAAAATGTACAAAAACAATGTTGTGGCTCCAAAGGCAATTCTTTCAATGCATGTAGTTATTGATCAGTCAGAGGAATAGCTGTAGTATATTATTAATATATATAATTCTCTAATAAGCATATTTTAGTACCAGTATTAAATACTTTATACAAATCTATTTATGCATTAGGAAGCCCTGTGTGATGTGTACAGACTCACTAAAGAAACATTTATTAAGGCCTGTCTGGTAATGTGCATTTGTGCATATTATCTCAAGATAAATACTGTTGTTTATCATCAGAAATGGTAATATAAAGAAAGAGTTCCACTTAAGTTAGCATAAAATATCTGCTATGATGCACCAGAAGAGAGCCACTGTGTGAGAGCGTCCACTCCTCGTCGTACAGGTCCAAAGAAAAATTCTACGTTTTGCGAGAAGTCAACACACACATTAGAGTACGCCTCTCCAAAGAGACAATAAAGGGCAGTCCCACCCATGCTAATCACCACGGTAGCCAGACACAAGAGGAGAAGGACGAGGCAAGAGTTTCCAGACACCTCATCTGGAAGCACGAGAAAGATGATCATTCTCACATTAATACAAAACAGAAATATGAATATATAAAGGCCCTGTGTGACCATTTGTTTTAAAAAATGTGATGAAATTGTACCTTGATCGAAAGCATCATCTGGCTCTCTGAAACGGACTTTGCGTTTGGTCGAGTCTTTTTGTGGAGTCGCATTCTCCGTTTCCTTGACGCAGGGTCTCTTCTTTAAAATAGAGACTAAGCCATTTGAGGGAAACGTCTAGAGAAATACAGTATGAAAATCCATGAAATAGACAACAAAATCTGAGGTAGAATTCATTTTAAAGCATGTACATGGCAAATAGTGTAATAACAACTAATAACCAAAAGGGGTCAGTATGTGCAACATCATAATGAACCGAACTGCATTATTGTGATCCCTTGTGAAAAGAGCACTTATTATGGAAATAATATACTTAAATGTGAACCAATGTTTTTAGAACCAATTTATTATAGAATCTTTTTTTAGTTGAATTTAAGAGTGCTTTTAACCCACTTAAGTAGGACTTAAAGAGACAGTTCACCCAAAATTCATTATTTACTCACCCTAAAGTTTTTCCAAACCTGAATGACTTTCTTTCCTCTGCTGAACACAAAAGAAGATATTTTGAGGAATACCAGACAGTTGATGAGCCCCCATTGACTTCCATAGTATGGGAAAAAAAAATACTAATGGAAGTCAATGGGGTCCCACCAACTGTTTGGTTACCAACATTCTTCAAAATATCTTCTTTTGTGTTCAGCAGAGGAAAGAAAGTCATAGAGGTTTGAAATGGCATGGTGAGTAAATAATAACAACAGAAACACGTAATTTTTCAAGTCAAATCAGAGGCCTAAACAAAAGTGATGAGAGTCTTTAAATCACTACAAAATAATTGTGTACAACAAGCAAACAAACGCATGTAATCATCATTCAGTTGTCGTGTTTGTTGATCAAAAAAGTCAGTAACTCTTTCAGAATGTGTGTCCAGTACAGTTCTGGAGAAGGTTTTTGCAGTTGGACTGTTATTAAAACAACCACGCCCAATAGCTTTAGGAAACCATACACTCCCTGAACGCTTCTTTATAAAATTCCTGCAGCTGGCTGCCATAATGCTGTGGATGACATCACACTATTTTGCTTTCACAAACCAGAAAACCCTGTGGCTAAAAAATGTGGCCCGAGAATTAGAAGAAAGTCCCATTTGACCTTTCACAAAGTCGTAAAAAGAATCAATTTGAGGACCCATATTAATACATCATTGCATATCTAAGCTCTGAGGAATACAAATTGTTCTGCAAGCGGTTGATTTGGAAAGATCGCAGCAGACGGATGGCGTCTCAGCATGCTTATTTTTTCTATAAGCAGATGGTAATATGCAAGAGATTAACATCACTCCTACAGCGTCCTACCTCCTTTACCTGAATGAGGTTGTCCAGCTCATCCACAGGAACCTGGCCGTCAAAGTCTGTGTCGTCCTGCAGCTCCTCATTCCAGTACTCATCCTCCTCAAGACCTTCCTCCTCCTCATCCTCCTCATTCAATTCACAGTTCTCTTCTGGCTCCTGTTCAGCTTCCAGCCATGAGCAGTCGTCCGCCCGGTTTTCTCTCCCGGTTGAGTTCACTGAAGCTTGTTCTTGTTTTGATCTTCTGTGTTCTGTCACATGGGTTGGGTTGTTCTGTAGTTTTATGTCATCCATGTTCTGCAATAACAGACTGCTTTAATCAGACTCACAGAAACATAAACCGCATTGGTGGATAATAAAACAATTGTAATGTTTTTGACTTTACCTTTTCCAAAGAGAAGTTAGGCCTGAAAGAGGAGTAGAGTTTGTCAAATTATTAATTAAGGAGTTATTTAATTTCTGTAGTGTTGTTAAAATATTTTATACAATAGCAAACAATGAATAATTATATATGTATGTGTGTGTGTGTGCACATAATTATAATGTATATTGCATAACTGTGTGTATATATATATATATATATATATATATATATATATATATATATATATATATATGCATGTTTATAGCATTATCGTTTTTACATATTTTTATTTTAAAATATATACCTTTAGAGCAAGCTTCTCAACGCTATTTATACACACACATATATATATATATATATATATAAACACTTTAATTAGTATTAAAATAATATTACTGTTCTACTGTATCTTTGATCAAATAACAACAAGCTCTGAAATATATTAAATTAAGACAAAAAAAGTGAAAAACAAATTTTGTTTAGAAAATTTTCAAAATTTATGTCATTCTTCTTCAGGTATTTCCCTATAAATCGGTTTAAATTGATGGTACTTGACAAGGCCCTGGTTCTGTCAGAGTTAAAAATTTTAACATTGTAAATAAAATGTAATGATTATTCTTTTCTTCTCCTCTGACAGTTCTTGTCTACACACAGTCTCACCTCTGGTGTGTTCTGCAGATATGACTCAACACTTCCATATGCTCTCGCTCTCTGTCAGTTCCATTAGCGTTTAAAGTAGAGTTACTATCGGTTTGGATGCTGATTTTCCTCTGGGACTCTGAAACCAAACATATGGATTTGAGTCTTAAAAATATTTGGACTGTGCGTCTCATTTTCTCTCTAGCTCTCTCTCTCTCCTGCATACAGTATACAATATGTACTCACAGATTATCTGAAAGCAGTCTAAAAACACTGATATCATTCTCAGTTCCTGAGATTTCATGAAAAAAGTTTCACTTTCCACAGTAAGACCTTGTTGACAGTTAATCAGATAAGATGGGAGAGTCTGACCTCTGTACTGCACTGATATTGGTGAAGTAACAGAGTCACATGTGGTCTGGGCAATGAAGCACGGTTGGGAAATGAGCAATTTCCTGAGATCAAACCATACCACTGCGGTTTACTTATAAAGGATGAAGCTAGCAATTCAATTTACAACAGTATTCTCCTATTTATAAAAGAATTATCATCTTTATAAGATAAAATAATGCTTTAGGAAATCCTCTCACATGCAAACAATTTGACCTCGCCTGGTTAAAGTTATTATTTTAGGAAATACATTTTTGATGTACCATTATCCATAATCATCTGGCATTCTTACCCCATTTCTTTTGTATGGAGGCCAGATTAGACAGTAGTCTTTCATGGTACAGCTTCTCCAGATGAAGAAACTCCACTGCCCACTGATCTGAGATAGCCAATGCTTAAAGAAAGCAGCATTTAAAAGTCTTTATATAGAGAGAGTAACATTCAAAAGTTTGAGGTAAGTTTTTTTTTTTTTTAAACAAATTAGAAAAAAATTCAGGAAGGATGCATTAAATTTATCAAAAGTGACCGTAAATACAACTAAAACATTGTAAAAAAAAATATATATATATTTCAAATAAATGCTGTTCATTTGATCTTCCTGTTCATCAAAGAATCCTGAAAAAAAAAAAAAGTATGATGGTTTCCACAAAAATATTAAGCAGCACTGTTTTTAACATTGAGCACCAAATCATCATATTAGAATGATTTCTGAAGGATCATGTGACACTGAAGACTGGAGTAATGATGCTGAAAACTCAGCTGTGCCATCACAGGAAAAAAATTGCATTTTAAAATATATTAAATAGAAAACAATTATTTTAAATTGTAATAATATTTCACAGTATTTTCTTATCAAATAAATGCAGCCGAAACTTCTTTCAAAAACATTTAAAAATCTTACCGAAGGAGCCCATGATGACCAGAGATAAAAAAAAAGTTTTTTTAATTAAATATCTATCAACATCCTTCCTTTTTCCAACACCCTAAATGTTAGCATGGAAAGACACACCCCAATGAGCTTCCCCTTGGTTACGCTTGCCCTGGTCACTAAGACAACAGCATCAACAGGGACCATTTAGTGACAGTAAAGGAAAGGCAAAGAGGAAACAGACAGAGATCAGGAGAATAACAGTGGTGCATTTAATATGCAAAAGGATACAGTCCTCTTCAAGGAAGTAGCCCTCCGCTATCTGTTATGGAAGAAAAATATCAGCAAGTAAAATATTACATCTCCTTACCAATTCCTGGATCATCACAAAGACAGTTTCATCAAGCGTTCAGTTAAAAGACTCTCAGCTGTGGTCGATCAAAGCCGCATTTCCTGTTAGACCTGAATCTTGATTTCATTTCAGCTCTAGTGAAGAGCACATTTAAAAGGACAATCAACAGAATGAAGCGCATGCGAACATGTTAACGGGTCTGAGAGCGAGCGGAGAATGTTTGATAATAACTGCCCTATCTTTGCCCATCTAATGCATTCTCTTACATGGATCGTCTATATTTAGTGTAATGCAGGAAAATGAATTGGTTTTCCTGTACTCTTGATTTTATCTCACTACAATAATCTCATTGGGAGGTAATTTACACCCTGCTATTTATAACTCTACCGGGAGATTAAAACAACAACTCACAGAGCACATTTCAGCAGTTTGTCTTGTTGACAGATCTGATTATAAATGTGCATGGTGTTTTTGTCAAAGCTTTTTTACACGCAGGATGCCTGGAAATGCTGACAAAATATGGAAAAACAAGAAGAGACTATTTTTGTACAACTTATATCACATTTTGGTTGAAATTAAAGAGTTAGTTTAAAACCGAAAGAGCTTATAAGAATAGAGTTCATTAGCGCCCGCCCACTTTTTCAGCAGCGTTGGTTCCGGAAGTACTTTTTCCAATCATTTCTCCCATAGGGATTTAAAAAAAGGTCTTTGTTAAAGCATTATAAGCCATGAACCAAGCCAACCAGCTACGAGGTGAATCACAACATTACAAACTTTGATTTGAAGCAAAAAAGTATTTAAAAAAAAAAAAAAAAAAAACGGTTCAAAACTTAACAGCTTTAGTAATAGAGAGAACTACTATCCCATGATTCGACTCAGATTGGTGGAATTTTCCATACAGCATCATGGGTAATGTAGTTTTCACCACAAATTCTGCTGTTAAACGGGATTATTTTAAAACTAAGTTGAAATAATGCGGAATAACAGCTTCAACAGAAGCAAATATTATCGTACTCGTAGCTCACAGTAAGGCCGTCTTTATAGGTTTATATGTTACCCTTAAAAATCTATTTTCCTATGGAGAAAATTAATGGAGCTATATATACTTTCAGAACAAGACTGTTGCACTCTATAAGATTACTGTTTTTTTCCCCTTTAAAATATCCTTAAGTAAACAACAAAAGTTATCAACACTCTTAGAATAAAAGGTTCAGTGGGGTTCTATATATAACTCTAGGGTTCTTGAATTTTAAAGAACTCTTTATGCTAAAAAGCTATATAAGGAGAAATGTCTTCCCTGATTGCATAATACTTTCATGTTTAACAGGTTATTTAAAAAAAATTACGAGCTGTTTAATTAATACATTAAAAATGCATTGAAACAAAATTAATTAATTAAACTTAATACATAAAATTATCACTTGATGGGAACCCCTAAATAGCCCTTTAAGGTCTTTTCATGCCAATTTGTGTTTTGGCAAGGGCCTTTTTGTGGGCGTAACCTTTTCAAACTCCCAGTGCACTCACCTGGTGTAAGGAATGAGGGAGGAGCATGTGATCATTCTCTTCAACAAGGGACTGCAGTGAAGCCAGAAGAGAAGGACTAGGTCCAGGTGGCACAATCCCAGAGAGAGTACCTGTACAGAGATCACATCAGGAAAAAAAATTAGGAACTCTGATGCAATTGCATAATTATGAATTTTGTAAACTGGTAAATCCAGTGATTTGAGTGCATTATGGTTACGGTTAATTAAACTACTTAATACCTGCTAATAATTAAAGGAAAGATTGTTTTTGGAATGTGGTTAGCAGTTGGTCTAAATTTAACCTTAAAGGGATACTCCACCCAAAAATGAAAATTCTGTCATAATTTACTCACCCTCAAGTTGTTGCAAACCTGTGAAGAACGATTGGAACCAAACAATTGTTTGGCACCATTGACTTCCATAGTAGAAAAAAAAATACTATGGAAGTCAATGGTGCCAAAGTTCCAAACGTTCTTCAAAATATCTTCCTTTGTGTTCAACAGAAGAAAGAAACTCATACAGGTTTGCAACAACTTGAGGGTGAGTAAATGATGACATAATTTTCATTTTTGGGTGGAGTATCCCTTTAAAGAAGCAGTTCAGCCAAAATGACATATGTGTCATTATTTCCTCATGTCATTCTTAACCAGTAAACTGACATTTTTTTTCCTGGAACAAAATAATCATTTAAAAGGATCCTCACACAGCTCTTTTCCATACAACATATCATAGTGATTCCTCTCAATCCTCAAAAAAAGCTCCGTCAAAGTGATCCATATAACATGTGTGCTATAAGGTAGATATATAAATAATAATAACATTTAAGATGCTCAGCAAGGCTGCATTTAATTGAACAAAAATACAGTAATATTGTGAAATTTTAAATAACTGTTTTCTATTTTAATATGTATTTAAAATGTAATTAAACCTGAATTTTCAGCATCATTACTACAGTCTTTGTCACATGATCCTTCAGAAATCATTCTAATATGCTGATTTGCTGCATAAGAAATGTTTATTTTTATTACGAAATTTTGAAAACAATTGTCCAGCTTATTAAAATAAAATAAAAAACAGCAATGTAAGAATGTAAAAGTGTCCTTAGTACTTTTGTTTAGTAAGTACACTTTAACATTGCTGTTTACATTGCTGTTTTTTTAACTTGAATCATTTGAATAGTTATTGAATAACTTAATAATTTCAATTACAACTGTGTATATATATATATATATATATATATATATATATATATATATATACACACACACACACACACACATATGTATGTAGGACCAACTCTACAATATTTAAAAATAAATACAGAAATAAATAAATGCTCAATAAATAAATAAGCATACAATTAATTGCCCCAAAAAATACAATAAACAAATACATGTAGGTAGAAATTAAATTATACAGTGAGACATAAATGTATATATCTATTTATTTATTCACCTTTGTAATAATTACCTTATTTATTTATTGTCCATTATAATCTTCAACTTTATTTATTAATTACTTATTTTTTTTAAAGTATTTATTTATGTGCATGTTATAATATTTTTGTCTGTTTTATTCTTCCTTTGTATTTTTTTACCCTATTTATTTCTTCAATGCTATTTATTTCTGCCTGTCGTTTCTACATTTCTGTATGCATTTCTGCCTCATTATGCAAATGAGGAGGGGCTGTGTCTTAAGGGGTCAACTTCTGCCCATTGAGAGCCTAAGCCCCTCCCCTCCGCTTCCGCCTCATGGGACCTTATTTCGGAAAAAATATGTATGGTAGTCAATAGCGAGAGACAACTTATCTTTTTATTCCGTCTGAACTGTGCCCTGAATTACACATATGATGTTTGTCAATTTAAAAGATAATTATGAAAGTCAAGAAAGTCGCAGTTTGTCATAAAACAGAAGAGTGACATTTAGTTTTATGTGGAAATCGCTCAATGAACTACATCTCCCGGGAAGCGAAACAACGAGCGAGATCCGCTGCTCGTGTGTGTGCAGTCTGGTACAAAACACTCTGGCATGACGGCGTAACGTTACGATTATAACGTAAGACTATAGAACAAATGACAGACGTTAGCTTCAGTAAAGTTAGCTTCATTCATTGAGAGAAAATGTGTGCCTTTTGGGTTTGTAGTCTTTTTAATTACGTATTTTCACAGTCTTATACCTCAACAGTTTTACATCAAACTACGACTTTCTTGACTTTAAAATGTATATTTTAAATTGACAATCAGGGATGAGTTCCCTAATGAATATTAATAAGTCTTCCCCTACCACCCTGCAAAAAAAAAAAAATCGCAGCCGGTGGCATGTAGATTCGACCGATGCAGTAAAATGCTAACCAACCAATGGGCAGAAGTTGACCCCTTAAGACACAGCCCCTCCTCATTTGCATAACGAGGCAGAAATGCATACAGAAATGTAAAAACGACAGGCAGACATAAATAGCATTGAAGAAATAAATAGGGTAAAAAAATACAAAGGAAGAATAAAACAGACAAAAATATTATAACATGCACATAAATAAATACTTAAAAAAATAAGTAATTAATAAATAAAGTTGAAGATTATAACGGACAATAAATAAATAAGGTAATTATTACAAAGGTAAATAAATAAAAAAGCTAATTAAAAGAGGTATATACATTTATGTCTCACTGTATAATTTAATTTCTACCTACATTTATTTGTTTATTGTATTTTTTGGGGCAATTAATTGTATGCTTATTTATTTATTAAGCATTTATTTATTTCTGTATTTATTTTTAAAGTTGGTAGAGTTGGTCCTCCATACATATATACACAGTTGTAATCTAAATTATTCAACCCCCATTGCAAATTGAGAAAACATCTGTTTTGCAGATTTGTGCTGTTGTGAGGGATTCTATGAGAGGGAATTTAATTTTCAGTTGAATTTGGGGAAACCACTTTTGCGAAACATTTGTTTTGTCGAGCTATTTCAATTACTTTTGTTTGATTTGTTCATTGCAAAAATCTGAGTCATTGAGTCTCTGCAATGGGGGTTGAATAATTTCAACCTTTTGTGTTCCAAGGAAAAATGGAAGTAATTCCATTTCACGTTTCTGATTGAATTGTTTATAACCTTTTAAGTAATATTTCTTTCATCAAGACAAGTATTACAGCACCAGAATACAGCGATATAAAATGCCTACCATGATCTAAAGAGCAACTATGGCTCTTGATGTTTGTTGGAGACCTCTCTTCTGGGTTCCTTATCTCTGAGTCGAGTTTAACAGCTTCCACGTCCATTACCTCTGCCTCTTGCAGCTTGTTCTGATTCTCATCAGAGGCTGCTAGGTAAGACGTAATGATGTCCTCTGCGGTCTGGGTTATTGTGCTCGTCTCTTTCCATCGTACAGACTTTCTTGTATTGGATTCTCCCATAACTGCTAGGTGATCACAAAGAAGATAGACGATCATGAAGATGAATCTATATCTTAATAAGAACTCAAGAGAAAACATTAAGGACTAAATATATCCACCAATTGGGGACAGGGTGGTTTTTCAAGTTCTTAACCCTGCGCTGTCCCTTATGCTGGTCATATCTGTCATCAGTGACAATGCATCACAGTGATCGTAAATTGAAAGAGGAAACACAAGTAGGACATGTTTGGCGTTGCTGAACATTTTACAGGCAGATCTTGGGCCTTACTTAAGGAAAACCTTGTGAAGCTGTGAAACAGGGTGTCCTAAAACAAACCAACACTCACTTGTTTTACTCCCAAAGCTGACAGCAAGCTCAAACTGACAGGTGTGTTCAAAAACAAGAGCTGCGCTGCATAATTCATGGGATAGGGGTGCTTGTCTTTCACTCTGTCTAGGCATTTTGAGTGAAACCAGAGACAGAGATGGAAACTGGGTGGAGTGTGGATGAGTGTCCTCACAGTAAATTACTTGTCACTGTCAGAGTGGTAACAGAACAGGGCGAATGATGAGGTGGAAAAGGCTGACAGAAAAGTTGAGATGTTTCTTGACATAACATGACCACAACCAGATCGATGTCAAGTTGAACCCTACCCTAATAAAAGCTGAACAGTGTGAACAGGGTGGGCATATAATGAGACATGCTGAGATTACACTGTACCTGATGCAGCAAAAGTTAAACAGTTCTGTTTGCAGAAATTGTGCTGAAATAAATTTAATTGGCATAAGTTCGTTTAATACACTAGCGTTGAAAGGTTTGGGGTTGGTACATTTTTAACAGTAAAAAATAGAGTAAAAACATTAATATAGTGAAATATTATTACAATTTAAAGTAACTATTTATTCTATTTGACTATATTTTAAAATGTAATTTATTCATGTGATGGCAAAGCTGGATTTTCATTTTCAGCATCATTACTCCAGTCTTCAGTGTAACATGATTTTTCAGAAATCATTCTACTATGCTGATTTGGTTCTCAAGAAACACTTCTCATTATTATCAATTGTTTTGTTTTTTTGTGGGTTTTTTTGGAATAAAAAGTTCAAAAGAACCGCATTTATTTGAAAAATATTATTGTACTGTCACTTTGCATACTTGCTGATTAAAAGTATTAAAAAAACAGTAGTGTATATTGCAATATGCAGCAATAATGTAACTTAAAGAATCTTAAATCATAACATAAAAAATTGCTGTAGTATAACCATGTTTATTTGTTTTTTTTTATATGGAAAAATAATATTTCAGTTTTGTAACTTGTAACTTGAAGTACCATGTAAAATTTTCATATTTTAATCATGGTATATCAAAAATGCACTATAACATTCTGATTGTGTACCATGGCACCACCACGGTTTTTTTTTATTTTTTTTGGTTTCTTTTGTGCTGTTTTCTAACTGATTAATTTAGGCTATTTATTTATTTTGAGTGACATCCAGTCACATCAAGGTTGGGTTTAACAATAACTTTTAGAGTACACTAAAGTTAAACCATGAATTAGCATAATTTGACAGGCAAAGTGATTGTGTAGTAGCCTGCAAATATAGATGTCAGGACATGCTTATGTTTAACAGACAGGTGTTCACATGCCTGAGGCCTATCTGAAAGAAAAGCACATACTAAAACTAACCCATTTTAAAAGAAAAGAAAAGTAAATAAAAGAAAACTCTGTTCTCTGCCCCTCTGGTCAACTTTGAAGATTGCATTGTATTGAACTTCTAATGAATCTTCACCATTTTAATGAATGAGTGTGCTAAATTAATAAATGTAAATATAAACGGCTTCGGCGAAACCCAACATCACAACGTGGTCTGGTAAAATACATTTATGTTTACGTTACTGCTCTTGTAATATATTTCTACTGATCTAGTTTTGCATACATACCTTGCACACAAATGAAAAATGGTGTAAAGGGCGCGTGCTTTAGTGTCCCGTATTTCACAGCGTCTTGCCTTTTGTCGCTATTTTATTTTCATCAGAACCATTTCAAAAAGAAAAACAGACACACGACTCATGTCGTACTTACGTTTAGTCTCTGTAATGATGTTACAATAGTCCGCATCTGTCAACGCGTGCACGCGCAGCGTTCATATCTGTTCCCAGAGCTGCTCAAGCAGCTACCCCAGACCCCTCTCTGTAAAATACAGACCGATCTCAAATCAGTTTCGATACCTTGCCTTGTCTCTGCATCTTTGCAGTTGTTTACAATCCAAACAGGGGCGTTTCTTTGCAAGGTTTCGATCTTGCTGGACGACAGTGGACGTTAGTGCCACCCATCGGTTCACATGTGGCACTGACATTGAAAGTGTTTGGAGACATAAAATTAGCTGCTGTTAAAATTGTCTATTTGCCCACATAACAGCAAATATGACAAATTAGCTCTTAAAGCAATTAAATATTTAGTCGTGACTCCTGTCGGGTGACACTAGAGAAAATAAACGTAGGCTAGTTTTATTTTTATATTCCAAACTCCTTTAGGCCTACTTGCGTTGTAAGTTTTTACTCACTGCCCAAAACTAAACAATATCCAATAATGTTGAAACCAGTAAGCTGAATAAACTCTTCATATATTTATTTTAGCCTACTATCAAATTATTCATCATCAACAACAAGAAAAATGCAGGTAAAGAAAAAGTCTGCTTGAGTTCAGTAGCCTAATCCATCAGCATCATATAATCCAAGAATATTCCAAATATTTTCAGAAGTCTTACCCTAAAATATGAATAAACTATGAGAGGAAACATGAAATGGACATTAGAATATGTAGGAATTGGAGCAGAAAGTAAACACAACCCTTGAAACATGCAGTGATTATGTTGGCTTGCTGTGGTCTGTAATGTCTCTGACTTCATATTAGGATAGGTTTTATCCTATTGTACCATAGCTTAGTGAACTCTTAAGGGGCTGCACTTCATCTCAGCCGGTAATGGGCCTATGTGTTGTGACAGCGGGATGAGCTGAACATTTGACTCATTACAATGCATCCGAATGTTTTTTTAATCCTCTGTGAACAACACAAACCATGCACAGTTTTCAATGTCTATTAATGTTTTATAAAAATAATAATAATTCAAAATCATGTCGTTTCTCATCTGATGATTACAGTGGGTATTAAACATGTAAATAAATTGACACAATATCAGTAAAAGGATTTATAACTTAATTTAAACAAAAACAATACAAAAGTGCATAACAAGTTTTTATTAGCGCATAAGGATTAAAGACCTTAACAATAAAACTTCCAAATTATTTGCTCTTACAGCAACAAAATAAACCCTGGGTGTTAAAAAATTAGATATATAACTCTCAATAAAGTCAGTCACTTTTTTTTACCTCCAAAATTAATTTTATTTCACACTTGTACATTTTAAAAGGAGTAACGCATCACAACTTTTAAACTAGTGACATTAAGCCCAAAAGTATATTGTGTGAAACAATAAGGTGCGAGAATGTTACAGCAAGTTGTTTAACAACACGTAACAAATCATAAAATAATGCTTGGGAGAGAAACAGATTAAAATATTGTTCATTTCCACAGACAAGCAGTTATATTACAGGTCATCTCATAGGCTACTTAAGGTTAGGGTTAACCTAGCAAATATGCCAGTAGGAAGGTTAACCCCGGATTTACAAATGTACAAAGGGAAATCTTGAATCCTGACTACCCAGAATTAAAGTCTGAACAGTGGAAAAACAAGGAATAATCTAGGATTTCAAGTAATACTGCAGTCCAATATGTTGTTTTGATCCCTCCCAATGCTAAAGCTAACAACACAAACATTTACAGCAAATTAGATTTCAAGAATGCCCGATCAGCACCAGCGGAAGCTTCCGTATAATGTGATGATTTTGAGATGCTTTAGAGGCATGGATTTGCATATCATTTCATATGTTGCATAACTGGTACAAGTGATCATTTAAAATCTTGGCATGCTATATTCCTACAAACACTGAATGATCTACAGTGGGCCGATGCCGCCACTTTCGTCTGCACTTGGGTGTAACATCAAAGCTGGTGACCATCAAGACATGTGCTTTACAGAGGTTAACATGACGCTCTAGCCGTTCAGTGACCATCTCCAAAGCCTCTAAGTGCTCCAGGGAGTCTACCTCAAACGTTTGCCATAAGTCAACTGCAAAATACATCACACAAATACCATTATAATTATTGATAAGACAGGAGTTTAAGCAGAACCATAAACAACCCTACAGTTTTCTATCCTGCATTGCTTAATATTAGGTAATATACATAATCAAATATTTTTAACCCTTACATTCACGGGTCCATTTTCCTTGGTCCACCATCAGATGATGCTTGGCATGTTCCAGCTCCCTCTTGAGAGCATTATACTTGAGTCTCACCTCTGCTATTCTCTGCTGTCGATGCTCCAGGAATTTCAGCTTTGCACTAAAGAGGACTATACCCTGGAAACGTGGATGACAAAATGTCAGTTTCCCTCCATAAAAAAATGTGAGAGATCTGAGATTAGCATTTGGCCTTCCATCACACCACAGGTTTTTATACTAATGTAATATTACAGTTTTCCTATAACACATTTCATATACAGACAAAATCAAACACTGTATGCAGCTAAGTTATCTTGCGTCTAAATCAAATCTTGCCTTTAAATAACCCACAAAAACCACCAAATACACAGATACACTGAATTACACACTGTGAGATTTATTTAAAACAAAACGACCATGGTCGTTTACTACAGTGAATGAGCAGCAGCTATACATTTTAAACTCTGCAACATAATAGTACTACATAAATTAAAGTGAATATTCACGTAAAAAAGCAATTCCTGAACATACAGTTTTGGTTTTGTGATAACAATATTGTTTTGATAAAATTAATCATCATTTGAGGAACAGCATCTTTGCTACTAGGGATAAAACATTGTACACAACATTGTCAAATTTTCCTAAATGTGTACAGTACATTGTTGAGTGAAAACTGTAAAAATATACATTTGTAAACAAAATAACAAAATATTTCCCAAATTTTCAACAAAGAGTTGCATATTTTTCAGTAATAGAAAAAAACAAAAACAGGATGTATAAAGATTGCAAAATCACATTTACTCTGAATCAGTATCTAGTCTCTAATTTGTGTCAGAGTAAAAAAAAAAAGGAAGAAGAAACAGATTTGCAGATTGTGTGAAACTGGAATAATGTTTAAAGTTTTTAGAAATTAGTCTTAAGGCTGGAATACACTATTAAATCTGAACAGATTTCGGCACTTTCACGTTGTTCTGAACACAAACTCATGTTGCTAGAAGACGCATGACAAATTAAAACGTGTTCTAAAAATCGATCAAAATATCAAACATGTTTGATATCCTCTGATTGGATGGAATCCTATCCAATCCAATGCCCATCACACCCTACACGATTTTCTGTGAAATGAGTCAACTCCGACTGCCCAAAATCTGCAGATTGGCTCTGACTTTCGCCAACTAACGCCGACTCCTCCAGACTGCAAATCGGGCAAAAAACCTGGGCAAAAGTCATGTAGGGTATTCCAGCCTTCACTTTTAGAAAACGGTGTTGCAAGTCAGGATACTTGGCTAAAGAACAGATTTTCATGTCTAAGCAATTGAGTCAAGTGCTACCAATTTAACGGACCATACAACAATAGCAGTTTGTGAATGAAATACAAAGCAGACAGACAGACAGACATTTTTTCATTGACACATTTTGAACCTCACCTTGTTCCCTGCCCCACCTCTCTTCTGTACGCCATCTACATTATCAATCTCATAGACTTTAATTTCATAAGATTCAACAACCCCCCGATCCACCCGGTGCATTTTGGGCCCACTGAAGGATCTCTTCAGCGACTGGAGGTTGTCTTGAGATGGGCGTCTTATACTGGACCCTGTGGACAAAGACAATACAGTGAAAACCATCTTGTTTTTTATGCTAGAATACACTGAATTAGAAAATTCCTTACCTATGTTGGTTCTTTTCTTGGTACTTCTCGCCCCTTTAGCAGCACCGAGTGAGCAGCTCTGATCGCTGATGGAGTTGTGCGTTGAACTGCTGCTAATTGTAGCCTCACTGTCTCTTAGCATGCTTTCATAGCCACTACTGACCATACTGCTTCTGTTATAGAGTAAAGCCGTTTTACACATGGCAGGAGGCATCTCTCCACTGAGAACACTGGTGGTGTCGCTGGCATGGCCGCTGCAGTGGTATGGTGTCCGTGGAGCTGTGATCCGACTGTACGGGGATGGCAACGTGTGAACGAAAGGTTTCATCGTCCCCAGTTCCTCACTTTCATCTAAATCCGACCCACTTTGACTAAAAGCGGAAAGAGAGTCTCTACTGCTTCTTAAAAGTTCAACTCTTCCCTTCCTGACTGCACCAGGCGACTTCAAACCACCGCTGTCCTGACTTCGGGATAGGGAGTGTGTTGACCAGAAGCTTTGGTTGACAGGTGCTCCGTTAGGAGAAAAGCTTGAGCTCCTGTTGATCGAGTGTCTAGTGGGTTTGGGGGACAAGTTTGGCATCTTCTGGATCTTTGAACTGGGCATGAATTTATTAACAGCTGTTGTCTTAGAGTGACCATTTTTGGATGGCCGGGATGCATCGTTGGCATCATGCATGGGGAAGAACTGTGGAACCCTCCCAAGACTCTGACTAGCTCGACACCTTACAAAGTCCTCAAAGTCTTCTTTAAAACCAAGTGGGCTGGGTTGAGCTGGAAAATATTGTTCATCTAAAAGGCCTTTAGGAGCCATATCGATGAAAGCAGTCTCCTCGAGGTACTTGCTTTTAAGTCTTGGTGAGCTAGAATTACCTTTCAAGCTTCCTGTTGAGTTCCCGATATTACTCTCGTCCCAAGTTTGGCTCCTGCCGGATAATGCTTTCAGTTTTGCATTAAATAACTTGCTGCTCTCTTCAAAATGAGATTTCGTGTTGGTCTTAGTTTCAGTAGCCTGGTTTAGCATTGCACTTCTGGCTATTGCAGACTCTTCTTTTGTTTCTTTCCTTTTTAGGGTGGGACTGTTTGTGTATGTTGATGGCACATTGTCTTTGTTCCATTCCACAAGTCCGTCTTTCTTGGCATGTTGTTTCTCCTTAAGAGTTTCTTTTGGATTACATGGGTTCTTGTGTTCTGTGTTCATTTGTGGGCCATTCTTGATGTCTTTCTTTTTGTTTTGGCACAACCAGCTCTGCTCGGGTGTAATTTCACAAGCATTTTGTCTGGACTTCAAGA